CCCTGTTAATATTGGGCAGCAGGTTTTGTGGAATGGTGGCTCCCTTTTATGAAGCTTGTTGGAATGTCCCTGCCGGAGGATGCGCTGAAGGCCACAAGTATAATGGGGTTCAAAAAAGAATTTGATAAATTAAGCCCAGTTGGTCAGGGACGCAGCTCCATGCTCTGGGTGACGCTCAGCCTCGGCCTGATGGGGGGACCCCCTGTTAATATTGGGCAGCAGGTTTTGTGGAATGGTGGCTCCCTTTTATGAAGCTTGTTGGAATGTCCCTGCCGGAGGATGCGCTGAAGGCCACAAGTATAATGGGGTTCAAAAAAGAATTTGATAAATTAAGCCCAGTTGGTCAGGGACGCAGCTCCATGCTCTGGGTGACGCTCAGCCTCGGCCTGATGGGGGGACCGGGTGATGGGATGGATCACCTGATAATTGCCCTGTGCTGCTCATTTCCTCTGAAACATCACACTGGGCACTGTTGGAAGGATGCTGGGCTAGGTAGACCCTGGGTCTGACCCAGTGTGGCTGCTCTTATGCCCTTATAGCCCTTCCTACCATGTAGCCTACACTAGGGATGTAAAAATGCCTTTAAAATTGTAACCGTGTAACGGCTCACATTTCCTAGCGGTTACACGCAGTAGGGGCTCTGCTGTATAAAACCTAACTAAGATTTATACTGCAGAGCTGGCAGCAAAGCCTCTTTGGGGTCGGGTCCGGGTGGCTATCGGCTTGGCTCCCGGAGAGACTTCGCTGTGGGCTCTGCAGCTTACTCCTGGAGAGTCAGTGTGTAGGCTGGGGTGGGGGCGGCCAGGTCCTCCAGGGAGAGGGGCTGCTCTGCATGGCCCCTGCCTGAGGCATGCGGGAACTTGCTCCAGCCCCTACTGGTTAACTTTTTACATCCCTGTCCTATGCACGTTGACTTTTAGCTGCATCTAGACTTGTAGGTTGCCCTCATTCAGTATCAACGGGAAGCCTTCCTCTGCTCAAACCACTCCAGACAGAGGAGAGAGAGTTAGGAGTTGAGTGCCTCTCCCAATCACTCCTAATTCTGGCCCCTAAAAGATCTCAGGCCAGAAAACACTGGATGTGAGTGAGACTGTTCACTTCATTTTCATGGGAGGACCCTACAATTTTTTCCTCTTGTGTCTCTGTTTGTAATGGTGTGGCCACTTTCCCTGGCCCTAGAACCCTAACGCTGCCCTCCATAGCGTCTCAGGCGGGAATTGACAGGTTTGACCCTCAAAGACATATGCAAGTATGACCCCGGAGAGGGATGAATGATTCCGGTGGATCTTTCAGCTCAGAGTGGGGCTGGCAGCGTGGGACGGTAGTTTGCAGCGTGCTGTCGCCCTGTCGTTTCAGACCAGCGTCCGGAAGATGTGTTCAACAGCGACCGTGTTCAGCACGGCGAGGATGGAGACTGGCAACGCTCTACTTCAACTACCTCATCTCAGAGTGAGCGGGCAGAGCGACGCTTACAGAACCAGCATAAGAGCCTGGCCTCTGAGGACACCAAAAAGAAGAGGGCTCAGAAACCTTCTCACATGAGGAGGAACATAAGGTGGGCATCAGAGAGATGGGAAGGGTCCCGCGGTCTTACTAGGGAAACGTGGGGTCTCTTGGTTTGAATGTGAATTGCTGCTAGACTTTGGCCACCAGCAAAGTAGGCAATTTCTGTTCTGAAAACCAAAGTGGGGGAGGCGTGGAGGCAAGTGAACCACTGGGGATCTCAGAAGAGCAATGCGCTCAGCTGGGCAGCGGCAAATACAGGAAATCAGCAAAACAATTGATCTCTAAGTATAAAAGTTGACCCTCAGTTCCACCCTTACGTTCTAGTCAATATCATGGGTTCAGGTGTGTCTGTGAGCTACAAGAGCTGCTGATACTGTCCGTAGCCTGAAATAAACCCTTTTCCTGCGCTCCTGTAGTTGTTTGTTTGCAAGAAAGCCCAGGTCCTAGCCAGGGACTATAAAGTTGCCATTTCTCCTTCTTTTTACACTGTAGCAATTTAAGAGGTATGGGGTTTGTTTGTTTTTAAGGGTCCCTGCTATCACAGGCAGGATGTAGGGCTGCTAGAAGTTTTCATTAACATTTATTTACAGGGAACCAGATGGCTCAGGAGAGTCCTAATGGAGTATGGAGCCTTGTACCAGCTGATGGTAGTTTGATGCCCCTTTTGTGAAAAGAATTGGGGGCCTAGATCTGGTTCACATGGCAATTGGTAGCCTCTTTGGCAGCCTTACCCAAAGGCACGATGGCTCGTTGGGTCCTGCATACCAAGATAGCGCCTTACTCCTAGAGGAGGAGGGTCTTACATTTGAGGGCGAGGGTGAATTGGCAAGGCAGGGTCACAAAGCCTTTGACTGCCACTGAGCAGATGGCCCATTTTCTGGAGAGAGGAATTGTCTCCAGAGCAGCAAATCCAACACCTTTCACGTTAATCTGAAAGGGAAAAACGGACTCTTTCCAAACTCGTGGGATTGCCTGTAAAGCGGTGTATGTAATAAGGATGTACAGTCCCCGTTAATTGCGTAAACCTTAGGAGTCAGCAGCCGCATGCATGGGGGGGGAGAGGTGGCTCCTGCCTCCCCCACCTCATGCTGGGCAGCCGGCTTCAGCTTCTGGCCCTTCTGAGTATGTGGGGGGGGACAGCTGAGCTGGCTCCTGACTCCAGTGAGGCTGGAGCCACCCTCTGCTAACGGCAAACTGCGGGAGGGGCGGGTACTCAGGTACCTGACTAAGTGATGCTTACCGGGTACCAGTTAAGTGGTTACCCATTCACATCCCTACTATGTAAGATTTGGAAGGCATGTGAAGTCATGGTGCCCAGAAAGACCAGGAGAACAGGGCAGTGACTGGAAAGTATTGGTTTCCTTGTTCTGTTAAAGGCTTTTGTGTGGACTGATGCTTTGTCATCTAACACATTTCCTTTTGCCTGATGGTGTGTCATTGCTGGCTGGCTGTAGACTCTAATACCATAGAAACAAATAACGTACATCCTCTCTGCTGCTCGCAGCAAGATCCTTTCCAGTGAATTGTTCCCAGGCATGTCAGCATAGACACACCCTTGTCCCCTCACCTTTTCCATCCAGCCAGCACTTTGCTCCATGTTGTTTAGGAGAGTCTGTGTCTGGGTGTGATGTAATAACGTGGCTTGTGTTTGCCCCTGTGCTCAGAAAGCTGCTGCGGGAGGACCAGCTCGAGGCTGTGACAAAAGCGGCCCAGCTAGAAGAGTTGGAGAGGAGGAAACGGCTGGGGGAGCTGTACCGCTAGAGTTCCTTCCAGGTAATCAGCGAGGGGCATTCACTGATGCAAGTTTTGAGGGTCGGCGCTAAAGAAGAGAAGAAAGTTGTACTCTCCCATGCCCCACACGCATCTGCCTTTTGAGACGTCCCACCCAAACGTCATTCTGGTTAGGTGGGGCAAGTCTTCACAGTGGGGCCATTGCTCTTCTGGCCTTTGTGTTGACCAGCAGTGAAATAATGGACAGTGCATTTAATAAACAAGTATAATTAGTGTTCAGAGTTAGCACTGCCCTTTGGAATGAAGGAGGCTGTTCATATCTCTGAGCTATTTTCCAGACTGTCTGCAGATACCTGGAGACCACACTGTGTTGGTTACACTCTAGTCATACTTTTAAAATGTTCTTGACAAATGTAAAGACTTGAGAGTTATTTGCCCAAAGGGAAAGCTTAAATCCTGGACCACAAGATCGCAGTTCTGGGAAAAGGTGGCCTCTTTCAGCCCTGAGCACTTGTACTTTCTCTGCAGGATGTAGCATCAAGTAAGAAAGGGAGTTTTTCCCCCTTGTGTGGCCCAGCGTGGTTAAAAGATGACCTTGGGTTTCTCAGCTTTTGGGACGCTCTGGGCTTCAGAGACTCAGTGAAGAATATACTCCAGACGTGGCTTGTAACAGGGAGCTACCCAACAGTGAGTGCAGCGTGTTTAGAGAGAATCATCAAGGCCATTGAGGTGGGGAAAAGGGAAGTGAAATACCCACTAAGTTGAGACTTAACAGTAGGTAAAACAGCAAGAGTCGATTATGGAGCATCCTAGGACTAATTAGTTGAGCTCATCTGCGGAAGTGGGTTTTGCCCACGACAGCTCATGCTACGATCTATATTTTTGTGAGTCTCTAAGGTGCCACGGGTCAACTCGGTGCTCTCAAAGTTACAGACTGAACAGCGACCCCGCTGAGACTAGCTACAGCGAGTGCAGAAGAGCATGTTGACTTG